TGCACTTATCCAGCCCCCTGTTTTTAAACACTAGACCTATAGTTCTCAACCTTGGGTAAGCCAGGGATTCTTGGGACTGCAATTCCCAGAAACCTTGGCCAGCACAGCTGATGGCAAAGGCTTCTGATAACTGCAGCCCAGCAATACCTGTGTTACCCAAGGTTGGAAACCACTGCACTAGACAAAGGCTGCACTCGCCCAACACAGTAAACCAGAATGTCTGCATTTCTGTTCATGAGCAGTGTCTTGATCCATCTACCCAAGGTTGCTGCTAAGCTGGGCCTGCGCACAACTCCCCTGCCCTCCGCACAGCTCTCTTCCTTCTCCACGCAGCAATCGCATTATATTCCAGTCGCAACGGAACCCAGTGCGCGGTGGGGCAGAGCTGCGTGCGCGTGCACGCAAGGGCAAAGCCATGAGAGAGAAAGGCGGAGCTGAAAGTTAGAGGGTATGTTGCATCTACCTCTTCATTCTGATCTGGCCTCTCCTGTCAGTGGGATCTGTACAGTATCCAGGAAAAAAAACACTTAGTCTTATACACAAAGCCAAACTCCTGGCTTATCCAAACTACTTGTAAAAGAAAATAAATAGAACTGGCTGCTTAGCATGCACTAATACTTGCAAACTAAAAGCCAGGTTTCTTTGCAATCTTGGCTCGCACTTTTATGCAAATATAGCCAAAGTATGTCATTGTTTAAAACTGATATTTTCACTGTTTTTTTTTTGTATGTGATGTTTGCTACTTTTATCCATGATAAGCGAAGCAAAGCGAAGGTACTCTGTTCTCAGCATTACAATGTTCTACCCTACCTTGAGAGATTCTACATAGAGAGGAGTAGAAATAGCATAACATTGTATAAACTATTGCTGACCAAGGTCTCTGGTGGTAGTAGCACTTGACAAACGTTCAACTGACAGAGGCTATAAGTTAGTTGGGATACAAAGATTTTATTAAACATGTGGCCTTTTGGTCATGAAGCAAGATCCAGTAAGAAATAGGGCTGGTCATGCAAGACAGTCAAAGCAAACCTAGGGTGTAGAATACATTTGTGTTTGTACAAACAGCAGCTAGGTAACTACTTGTATAACGACTTCTTTTAGACACTAAAAATGGTACACTAACCTAAGTTTCCATTATTTACTATATATTACAGTACAATCAAATGGAACACTAAGCAGCACAGACAAGCCAAATGTCTCATTTTGAAAAGAAAGAAAACATTTTTGTTTGCATACCAAGCATTTTCCAATCGATACATTTTCAACCACAGTTTCTGTAAATTTATGTTCTCAGTCCAATAATGTACAATGTGAAGCACAATGCCAAATCCTGTGTGGCTTCTTCAAGGTCAGAATAGATCTAAAAATAAGCCAGTTACAGCCAAGACTAGTGCAGATGAATGCAATGTTGCTTTCATACACTAAGAATACTCTCTTTGAACAAACTCTTTGAATAAACATGATATAATTAAACAATATTAATTTTGTACAAATATTGTACACAGTATTGGAAAGCCATTCTAGCTGTGTCAAACTGTGCTACAGACCTGGTTTTCAGACTTAACGCTTAGTCACATGCCTTCTGTAAACTTTCTTGTGAGGCTTTTGGCACACATGCTTCCACTGGATCTCGGTTTCACCAGCTGAAATCTGTAGCTTAGTGTAGTACGTATGCAACTAGAGTAAGCTCACTAAATCAGAAAGGACTTGGAGAGTCTACTTTGTAAGTCCCATTGATTCAATTGGCCCACTCCATTTGTAACTTAACATGCTAAGCAACAGGATTTCAGCCATAATGTGATTTTTACAGAAAGAATGTTTTCTCGAAGCATGGCTTAACGTTCCTCTACAGGTATTCAATACTGCTGTACACATCTTCACCTACAATGTACCTACAATCATGCTGATATAATGTTCATAGGAACCCATGATTGATTCTCTTAATTCAAGACTCAAATTCTGCAGATACAGTGGTGCTTCGCTAGACAATGATAATCCGTTCCACTGAAATCGCTGTTTAGCGAAATCATTGTCTAGCGAAAAGCATTTCCCCATTGGAATGCATTGAAACCTGTTTAATGCATTCCAATGGGAAAGAATCGTCATTGTCTAGCGAGGATCGGCAATAGGAAAGCCGTTTTGCAAACTGCCGATCAGCTGTTCAAATCGCTATCTTGCGAAGCTTAGGTCCCGAAAACACCTGTTTTGCGAGTGTGGAGGGAGCTGTCAAAATTGTCATCTAGCGAAAACGGGTTTGCGAAGCAGGGACCAAACATTATCCAGCGAAATTCCCCCATAGGAATCACTGTTTGTCTATGTCTAGCGAAAAAACTGTCATGCGGGGTAACTGTCTAGCGAGGCACCACTGTATTTTTCCCAATAATACCCACAAGAGAAGACTAGATATTGCATCTAGTTGTGTATCTCCCCTCCCCCTGCAATACCATTATGTGCTTCCCAAAGATGTTCCAGAGGGCAAATGACAATATGAATCCGATCTGGGGAATATGTAAGGAGGAGAGGAAGTTTTGTTATACAGACAAGTGTCTATTTGGGCTAAAATTTAACATCATGCAAAGGCATGAAAAAGGAACATTCCAACAATATGTACAGAAATGTGGATGCTTTGTTTCTGACACTCCATTTCTCAAGGATTACTAAAACAAGAAGATTTACTTTGTATTTCATGTTCCAGCACAACAATGATCCCGAAATGCTTACAGTAAAGAGAAGTAGATGAAAATGTCAATTATGAAATTGCTGATGTATTTTAGCACATGGAAATACCATACTGCATCCCTGAACCATGGCATTCACAACAAATATTTTACCCACCAAAAAGATTGACAAGACATTACAGATCTAAAGGCTTTTATTCTGAAATGCTGCCTTTGGAAAAACTCAAACCTTTGAAAGCAAAAAGTAAACCAATTCAGTTTGGGGAGGGGGGTATATTCACAGGAGTCTGCTAGCTTTGTTTCTTACACTATTGAAGCCTCAGTCAAATATACTATAGGTCATGAATGGCACTCTGGATGTTTTAAACTACCATTCCCACAGTCCTTTATCACTGGCAATACAAGTTGGGAATTCTGGAAGTTGTAGTCCAAAATATCCAGAGTGCCAAAGGTTCGGTAAAGGTAAAGGTTCCCCTTGACACTTTAGTCAGTCGAGTTCGACTCTAGGGGGCGGTGCTCATACCCGTTTCCAAGCCGTAGAGCCAGCGTTTGTCCGAAGACAGTATCTGTTGTCACGTGGCCAGCGCGGCTATACAAAGAATGCTATTTACCTTCCCACCGAGATGCTACCTATTTATCTACTTGCATTTATACGCTTTCGAACTGTTAGGTTGGCGAGGAGCTGGGACAAAGTGACGGGAGTTCACTCCATTGCGTGGATTCGATCTTACAACTGCTGGTCTTCTGACCCTGCAGCACACAAAGGCTTCTGCGGTTTAGCCCGCAGCGCCACCACGAGCCAAAGGTTCACCACCCCACTATAGGTAATGTAAGGTATAGAGTACACAAAAAACTCAACACCAGTTTTTTTAGCAGTTTCTCAAATGGATGAAAAGACAAGTTTCTAGGCATTAAACGTTCTTGAGAACTACATTAACTGTGTCATGTTTAGCGAATCAGGTTTTGCGATACATAAAACACGTTGTTTCAGGAAAAGGGCATGCACACAAAGAGTTTTTCACTCCCTACCTAGAAGCCAGGGGGGTGCAAAACTGTGTATTTGCCCAGCCCCTTTTTTTTTCTACAGGCAGACTTCAGAACCGTGAAAGCACCTATGTTAGAAAGGTTAAACAAGCCATTAAGCTACTTTCCACTAATGGCAGTTGGTCAACTTGGTAGTTTAGGTACTGGGTTGTGGAACCAGAGGGTGGGAGTTAAATTCCTCACTCTGCCTCCTTGACAGAGGCCGGACTCAGTGATCCAAAGGGTCCATTCCAGTTTTGCAGTTCTAAGATGATAATGATTAAATACTGACCTCTAAAAGGCCCCAACATTAACAGCCCTACTCAGATCTTGCATCTACAGGTATTAAGCAGGCTCAAAATGTTATCAGTTACACAAACTACCCCACCCTGTCAGAACCCATCACATCCCTGTACTTTGTGCATTAAGTTGTTTTTCCTTTTCTAGTTCACCCAGGCTAAGCAGAGAGAAACGGTGACAATAAGAAAGTCAAGAGGGAGAAGGCCAGAGACAAATATCTGAACATATCCTGCATCTTCAAAAGTGATCCACATTACCACCGTTCTACAAGCAAAGAACAGCCCTGAGGTTCTCTCAAGTCAACCAACAGGAGGTTCACAAAGTTACAAACCTCCATGAAGGATTTTGTATTCACACATACACAATGAATGGGGAAAGGCACCAATAAGATCTGCCAACAGTTATTTTAAGGGTAAGGTACTGGGAGGGAAATACACTACTGATCAAGCTGGGGTGGTGGTAGGGGAGGAAGGCCCAAGACACCCATAAACTCTACAGAGTTGAAATGCCAGGAGCCCAAAAGCAGCGACGAAGGTATTATGGACGTCAGCCATCCTGTGAGAGGAATGTCAACCACGCTCAAACTATATAATCCCACAAGAGGGTGAAAGATCTGCTCACAAGAACCAGTAGCTCAACCGTATCAGTTACAGCAGGTGAAACCTAAGAAGTTTTCGGCCAGGAGGAGAAGGGAGGTGAACAGAGGAGATAAACAGCCCACGGAAGAAATCTTGATTAGGGACTCTCGACTCGCCCGGAAGAAAGAGCAAGATCTTAGTTTCGGGATCCGACGACGTGGCCGTGGAAATTACCAGGTGTGGAAAGGAAGGGCGCCGAGGTGTATGGAGCAGCGCCAAGGCAAGGAGAGGCGGTGGGAACCAGAGAAAGGAACTGCGATCGGGAAAGAGGAAGGGGCTGTGGGAAGAGTTTGGTCCAGAGGGGCGCAGGAGCCCGCTGGGTCCCCAGATCTCCCACCCCCCGACACCCCATAATACTCACGCCTTGTCCACCAGCTCCCGGACTTTCCACATATTGAGCATCGTGGTAGTCGTGGCGCCGAGAGATCCCCCCCCGGTCTAGGCCCCTGCCCGCGCCCCAATCTTCTCCTCCCTCTCCTCCTCCTCCCACCAAAGGAGTCCACCTAGCCGCTCGTCAGCCACGGCAATGCCAGGCCAGGCCCGTCTAGCCGCCTCTGCCGCCACCGCCTCAGCTTCGCCAACGGGAGAGATACGGTTCTGCCTCCGGAAACCGGCAGCTCATGGCCGCAAGGCTTTCTGGGACATGAAGTAAAAGCTCTTCTCCGACCCTGAAAGGCGAAGAGCCGCGTTCTAACGCACTGCATGCTGGGGGATGTAGTACTCCTGGGTTTCGTCCCTGTGGCAGCAGCTTAGCGAAAGCCCTCTTCCCCCGCCCTTCCATTGCTCCCGCGTGGTTTGCTGGGAACGAAAAAGTTTTAAGGAAGAGAATGTTCTCTTTGGGAGATACGTTAAGTTAGAGTTATTGGAAATGGTGTGTGTGTGTGTGTGTACGTGTTTAATGGTGCAGCGTCTTCAAGGGAAAAAAATGCAGGCTGAAAGAAAGTCTCAGGAGTTTTGACTTCCATACGGCTGTGACTGACCTGACAAAACACCTAGTGTAGGAAAAGAAATATCTATGTGGCCCATTTGCAGAATTCAAGAGGCAAATCTCTTTCTATGATTGGGTCTTGTGGAGTTGAACACATTGTCTGTCAGGATGGATTGGATATGGGTACCTTTCCCACCTTCTCCTGTCTTCATAGGAATTCTTCAGTCTCGAGAGACTATGGTAACATGCTCTGTATGGAGGACTTGGAACAGCGTCTAGTGTTTTGAAGCTGTACGTGAAGCTAGAGTGTCCTCTCCAGGGCACAAAGCCTGGGTAAAATAATATGGAGGATAGGCTGTTACCCAGGCAGCAAATCCCCCCTTTCCACATCACTGAAGTAGTCCAATGGAAAGGCAAGAGCCAATACAACTGGTTTTCAGACTTAAAGCTGCCTCCGGGACTCTGGTTCCGGATTTTGCCTCGAGGTTAACTCCTGAAGCCTTTTCCATAAGTGGATATAGCCACAAGGCAGTGGAGGTATGAAATCGGAGTTTTCCTTCTCCTAAATGGACTGCCTTCCAGGCTTTGGTCCCAATAGTCCATTGAATTTTAAAAATGATGGTTCCAAAGCAAAGACAAGTGCTTTCTGTATACTTGTGCCATTGTTTCCAATTTGCTACCAGTAAGGAGGGAAGTTCATTCTAACTTGCTGCTTATGTTGCATTTTTATCTCTCCTCCGAAATCCCCAGCAGGGTTGGTAACTGATGACAACTCCAAAGAGGGAAAAGAGTCAGAGTCATAACACCACTACCAGGTAAAGTATTCTAACAGTTTGGGGACTGAAATAGGTGGCAGGGAAGGCCACAGAGTCCTCCGGAGGCGGAAGCTGCTTTCCTGGGGGGTTAGACAGGGCCTACCAGGAGCTCCATTGGCAAGTCGATTCAGAATTTTGTGGCCGAAGCTGTTCGTTTCTTGGATTGAGTCATCATGGAAAACAGCTTGGCAACAACTTCTAAAAACAAAAAAGAGGAAAAGACCCAAGACCTTTCCTCCCACAAAACAAGTGGGGTGAGGAAGACAAATCTATTTTACTGCCTTTGTTGCAGTTACCTTTATACTCCCACCCCCCAAAGAAATCACCCATTGCCAGAAGTCACAGCTCCTGTGAACAAGATATGGAGGCATGATACCAACATCAGGTGAAGTATTCTTACCCGGGGGGGGGGGGTTAGACCAGGCCTACCAGAGAAGACCCAAGACCTTTCGTCAGATAAAACAACTGGGGTCAGGAAACCAAGGGTTTTATACTTCATCTGTTGCAGCTGTATTTATACCTCGCCAAGAGAATCACCAGCAGACAAGAACAATGGTGCACTGGTGCAAGAACCATTGAACTGACTCATATATGATTTCTTCAGGATGTGTCTTATCCATATGTTCAATAGCAGTCTTTCTTTTTCTTCTGCCCTAGAATGAACATGAGCAGATCATGGCCACCAGCGTATGGCTCAATCAGGTAACCATCCCACGGGTCTTCAGTTTAAACCTCCCAAACTGGAGCAGAAACAATGAAGCAGCTACTTCATATTTACAGCATATGATCCTGATCTCCCAGTGACCATTTACATGCCCCTCTTCATGCACAGGATGTATATCTGCATTTATCCTGCCTATGATCAGGATAAATGCAGATATACTTTAATAAAGAGAGAATGGGTGGAGATGTTCCCTCAGATTTTTAAATCGTATCCATAGGGATAAAAAGGGTGTTGCATAGTTTCTAGTGAAATTCCTTTTTGCCATACAGTGGAAGTACAGAGACAGTCACCTGGCAGGACAAAGTTCCAAATAGAGTAGTCTTAGAACAAGCTGGAATGTTTAGCATGTATACATTATTGAAACAGCATCATCTATGTTGGCTTGGGCATGTCGTGAGAATGGCTGAGGGTTGGATTCCAAAAGATCTTCTGTATGGAGAATTAGTGCAGGGAAATCGCCCCAGAGGGAGACCACAGCTGCAATACAAGGATATCTGCAAGCGGGATCTGAAGGCCTTAGGAATAGACCTCAACAGATGGGAAACCTTGACATCTGAGCGTTCAGCCTGGAGGCAGGCGGTGCAGCATTGCCTCTCCCATTCTGAAGAGACACTTGTCCAGGAGGCCGAGGCAAAGAGGCAGTCCCGAAACCAGCAAAATCAGGGAGCTGGACATGGGACAGAGTGTATTTGTCTTCAGTGTGGAAGGGATTGTTACTCTCGAATTGGCCTTCACGGCCACACTAGATGCTGTTCCAAGTTCTCTATTCAGAGCACGTTACCATAATCCCTCGAGACTGAAGGATGCCTAATCTAGAAGTACAGGGAGATCCATGGAAGAGAATTGCCACAAGTTCCCCAGAGTCCACCCTTTCTCATTAACTGGCATTTAAAGTCTCGGTAACTCACTCTTAGACATTTGTCGAAAAAAGAATTTTAAAAATTCTTTGCTTACAATTGCTTAAAAATTACAGACTTGTATATGCTGCTTTTTTACTGCACACATACATAGCAACCAGCTGAGCAGATCAACAACTGTCACCAGACTAAGGAAAGGGAAAAAGTACTCAGATGAAAGGCAGGGCTCTCTTTCAAATTAAAGTCTGGAAAGAAGGATTGGCTAGTGCTGGATAGATAAACAATCACCTCAGCCTAGAAAAACCCTTCCCAGTGACACAAACTACAGGCAGCATGTGAGTTTGTAAATAAAACTCCAATAGTGAGGACTGTAGAGATTTTACTAGTCAAAGTTTTGTTGCTTAGTGTAATAACGCACTAGAGTAGACTCATTGAATCAATTGAGATTTAGTGAGCTGATTCAAATGGGTCTATGCTAGTTACAACTTACTATGCTAAAGTAAGTCACAGAGTAAACCCATTTAAATCAGTGGAACTTACACAAGAGTGACACCAAATCTTTATTGGTGGGTTTACTCTTATGCAATTTACTATGCAAAGCAACAGAATTTGGGCCATAGAGTTCAATGAGGCATAAGGTAAAGGTTCTATTGGATCAGTGCTCTTCAACATTTCTTTTAATAACCAGGATCAGGTGTTGCAGGAAATGCTTATTAAATTTGCACATGACACAAAATTGGGTGGAATAGCTGAAACACAGAAAGATCCTAGAAGAAACAAAATTCAAAATGATCTTGATAGGATGGAGCACTGGGATGAAAACAACAGAATGAAATTTAACAGGGATGAGTGCAAAGTTCTATATCTAGGGGGCAAAAACCAAACACAGTTATAAGATGGGAAAAATTTGGCTCAGTAATATTACAGGCAAGAAGGATCTTGGGATTGTTGCAGATCGAAACTAAATATGAGCCTTCAATGTGATGTGGCTACAAAAAAGGCAAACACTGTTTTAGGCTGCATTAACAGAAGTATAGTCTCCAAATCTGGTGAGGTGTTAGTTCCCCTCTATTCAGCACTGGTTAGGCCTCTCCTTGAATAAGAAGGATGCCAACAAACTGGAGCAAGTTCAGAGGAGGGTAACAAAGACGACAAGGGGACTAGAAACCAAGCCCAATGAGGAAAGACTGAAAGCAGCAATTTCCACATTGTTTAATTTGCTATTATTTTTAAAATCTCCAGTAGTGTACAGAGTTCCTTTTCACTCTCACAAGTTCAGAATTTCTTCTTTAACATCCCTACATATAGCATTAATCCAGGGTCTGTTCCAAATTCTCAGACCTACTCCCATATTTCAAATTAAGGGAACCAGAATCTAGTCCTGAGAAGGAAAGAGCAATTAGGGGCTCAGGCTTGCCCTAACCAATAGTTTGTGATGTGGGGCAGTCCAACAAAAGAGAAATGTTGAAGGGCTAAACAGAAAACATTGCAAAGAATGGCTTCAAATTTTCATTAATATTTCACATCCATGCTACGCTTCATCTTCATACAAAATACAAGTAACACAGAGAAAAGGAGTAAGAACTGAAGTGCATACTGCTGTGCAGTCCTAAAGCACAGATATGGATTTGGAAAAATATTGTTTACAGAAAAAGAAATAAAATAATTGGAAAACAGTCAGGTTATACATGTGACCAATAAATGTGGTCACAAATTTATGTGAACAAATTTGTTGGTCGCATAAATTTCTATTTATGTGACCAATAAATAGAAATTCACTTCACAGCACACAATAATTGTGTGCTGTGAAGTGAATTTCAACTTAGGGTGACACTTTCCAGGGTTTTCTAGGTAGAGAATAGACAGAAGTGGTTTGCCTTTCCTTTCTGGGGTTTCCCTGGGATTCTGCATCTTGTCCAATGTCACAAAGGCTGGCACAGTGGGGAATCAAACTCCCAACCTCTGGCTCTACAGCCAGAGACCTAAACCACTTAGCTATCTAGCTAGCCACTAATAAATAGATATGCCTGTACATAAAACTTCACTGGATAATTCAGTGGTTTAGGCATCTGTCTGCAAATTCCCCGCTATGCTTCCTAGGAGAAGAGCCAGCCTGTATGGGTTTGGTCAAACTGCACAGCCCTAGGATGCCTCCAGAAGAAGAGAATGGTAAACTACTTCTCAGTGTTCTCTACCTGAAAAACCCTGAAAAAGGTCTTCATAAGTCAAAATTGACTTGATGGCACATGATTAATATTATACATATAAGAACACAAT